ATTTCCCTTAGTTCTTCAGGATTAGAAGAACCTCATAAACATATATTATTTTAGAGCAACTGAAAGTTTAAAATGTCAATAAATATTTTGTTTAAATTTTTAACTTAAATTCTAGTCCTCGTGAATAAAGACAGCTGGTCTAAAACCAGTGTCCTCAACACGCAGGGTCTCTGGAGGTTAGAAACATATATTTTATAAATATAAATTTAGGAGAAGACAAAAGATTTAGTGACAGTACTTTTCTCAACAAGTAATAAAAAGTGTAAACGAATAAATAAAGTAGACTTACCAGAATGTGATTCCCTAACTCCTGTATTTCTGTATTTGTTAAATAATTCATATATGACAATATCTGAAATTCTCTTCTGGCTTTTGGTTTTGGTGGAACCCCAGGATTTTCATTGGTCCCCACAAGGACAAACATTTCTGGGGGTGCCACTGTCACTTCCAATGAAAAGCACTTTAAACAACTTAACAATGCCTCCTCCGTAAAGAGATTTTTGACACGAGACTGAAAACATATTAAGATATGATCCAAGACAACATGCTGTTATTTAATGTTCACTTTAAGATTTATTTAATGTTTGTTTGGTTTTATTTAGGGAGGATCTATAATCCATCTGTCCTGGTTGGGTCAGTGAGGCAACAGACCCAGCAGGGAAACCAAATCCTCACTCACCCCGGTGCAACGACCCACTTGCTCAAGGTTCAAGGTTCTTTATGGTCATTCACATCACATGTGGTACATGAGGTGGAACGAAACTGTGTAGGGTCTCAGTTACACCCAAAAATAGCAAAAATATAAAGTATAAAAAGAAACAGTATACAAGGATCTAATACACTAAACACTAATAATGTAAAATAATATGATGTATTAAACAGCAGCTTGAACATGAGTCGGTGGAGAGCAGATGAATACAGAAGCTTAAAGGCGAGAGATCAGCAGCACAGATAGTCACATATTACCAATGATTATCCTGGTTAGAGATTCATGAGTCTGAGAGCTTCAGGGTAGAGGCTGTTCCTCAGTCTAGTGGTTCTACTTAATGCACCTCAATCTTCTGCCTGAGGGGAGCGGGGCAAAAAGTGTGTGTGCTGGGTGAGTGGGGTCCTTCATGATGCAGGTGGCCCTCTTCCTGCATCTGGAGGTGTAGATGTCTGTGATGGTGGGGAGGTTGACTCTAACAGACTTCTGTGCAGCCTTCACCACTCTCTGAATTTTTTTTCTCTTTGCTCTCCATCAGCTGCCTCGAATCGTTCCAACAGAACAAGTTCTGAGTCCTGCACGGTGCAGTGGTCCATGTACGTATGGAGGTGGTTCTGAACCCCCCACCACTCATTCAGCCTCTTGTCTACACACACACACACATTCAGGGACACACACACCTTTAGTATTAAGTGTTTACCATTCTTTCAGTGAAATATTTACTGAACGTTTGACTCTATGGTGTTAGTGATGACTCAGTGAAGACCCCTGCTTCATTTAATTCAGATAAATTAAGAGGATTTCAGCTGAAACTCTTGTTCTTCAATGTCAGCTCATTTTAACTGAACTGTCGTTACAGCAACGCTCTAAACGTTTATGCTTTTCAGTTTTTTAATTGCTGAAGAAACACAATGTAAAAGTATTACTGTATTTATTATCATGTAAAAGTTTTCTACATCTTTGAACAAAATGTGTCCCAGTGCAGCTTAGTTCATGTATATATGTGTTTTTGTACTTTTTTATAGTTCACATCTCCTCAGATGATCTTCCAGCTCAATGAAGCATCACTAATTTTTTTTTTTTGTGTTTAAATCAATCAGTTCAAATGACATGATTTTCTGAAAGCATTTGGTTCTTATTGACTGACATTTTATGTTAGATCTTGACCAGCATTTATCCTTACATTTAGTGTTTTTATTTTTATTGTTCTTTCTGTAAATGTGCAGCAGACTGCAGGGAACAGAGTCATCTGTTGTGCCGGATCGATTGGAAGCAGTCCACTTCCTGCACCACGGCTGACTTCACGTGTGCTAAAACACATCACATCATGTTTAAACATTTAAGGTTTAAATTTCCAAATAAAAAGGAAATGACAATAAAAGCTGCACAATTAAAATGACTTTTATGAAACAAATGTCCTTCTCACAACTTATAAATGATGTAAAACACAAAGTGCTGCTTCAATAAAAAGAAACACTTTAGTTCAAATCAGTTTTTAAATTTTTATAATGCTTAAAAATGATGTATGCCAGATTTTTCTGTGATAGCTCTTTGTTGTTGGTGCTGTTATATTCCAGTTAAAACATAAAAATACTAAAAAATGGAGTGAATTGTACCTTTGTGACAGACAGTGCTGTTAAATTGAATTTAGACTTGATCAAGTTGTCTGCTCACCAAGATTTCCCTTCTCGAAGGTTTGCTGTCAGATGTCTGCTCCACGGCAGCTCAGCATTTTAAAATCCTCATTAGAGCTTTTCTTCCTGTACAAAATATGATGCCGTTAAGAATTAACGTGATATTTCCTGAAAGCTGTAGTCTGACTGAGTTTGGTTCTTATACAAATCGGGTTTTGTTTAATCCAGCCTTTTGTTTGTCATCAATCAGAATCGTTATTATTAGAAAAACAATTAAATAATGAAAAGAAAACAACAAATTAAAAGATATGAACTTCACATCTTTTTTGTCATCTGGTTGTCTTTGTTTGAAACTGATGAGGGAAAAACAATGTAATGAGAAATGTCAGGCAGAAAAATGACCAAAATATGAACATTAACACAGATTTCATTATTTTATCGCAGATTATACGTCCTAGAGTAGTTAAGAATTGTGCGGATTATAGACATGTGTTTAGATTTTTAAAGCCTTTATTAGATTTGTTTGTCTTGTAAAAATATAAAAGAATACTATCAATATGTTACCCATGTCAAGGTGTTACCCAGCGTAAAATAGCAAAGACTTTTAAGTTATCATCATCAACCGTGCATAACATCATCAAAAGATTCAGAGAATCTGGAACAATTGCTGTGCATAAGGGTCAAGGCCATAAAACTCTACTGGATGCTCGTGATCTCCGGGTCCTTAAACGTCACTGCACCTCAAACAGGAATGCCACTGTCAAGGAAATAACAGAATGGGCTCAGGAATACTTCCAGAAAGCATTGT